TGTACACAGCCTGGAGGCTGATTTCAGGGTAAGAAAGTCCCTGTGCGTGTTAATCGGAAAGAATTCCCCTGTTGCTTCGATATTCCAGGAAGAGTTGACATGGGAGCTGACATCAGGATTGAATTTGCATATAAACATTTAGTGTGACCAGACACTGTCTAAAAAACCAACACTGTCTTTCCTCTCCCTTATACAGATGTTATCCAGGTTGGCTGCCCTTTTCAACTGCTTCACAACATCGCCCACATGTAATGGATCCTAATGTGTGTACAGATTTGTATGCTTAATGGCTAATAGTCCTTCAGTATTGTAATCTGCCTATAACATCCTGTAACTCCTAGCTGATGTAATGGCTTGCAATGTGTACGTAATACCGGTGGTGCTATTTATAGACCAGCAGGCAATTCTCAAAGAGATGGATGCGTGTATACGTGTGAGCTGCTGGGCATGCACACACGCACATATGTACATACTTTAGTTTGCACAAAGCATGTTCAGTGCAGTTTGCTTTCTCTTTGTCTGTTTGCGCCTGTCCAGTTTCTGTCTAGTTTCTATCTCAGGATGTGTAAGTGACCACATCTGGGTGCTTGCGTGTCTGATGGAGTGTGTGTTTAAATGTGTGCATGTGTGTGTGTGTGTTGCCTGAAGCTCTCAATCTCTACCTGGGGGATTACATCACAGGGCAGTTATCAGACCTGAGTCATCAGAGAAGTTGAGAGGCTCTGCTCTGCTCCTCTGTCTAAAGGAGGACATAAAAACATTAATAGACAAAGGGTAATCTTTTTGTTTATTTCTCTTTCTTCTTTCTCTTCCTTTAATTCTGCTTTCCTTTTACCCACATTTTATTCTTTGCCTTTAAGAAGAAGACCAAGAAGTAGAGTAGGTCAGTTGAAACATGTCACTCAGACGTCATCTCTGGCTACTTTCTCATTCCTTGAGATTGATTAATAAAACGTCTTGTTCATGAGTTGAGCAAACCTTTAGGGCTTGGAACTTGACTTTGACTTGACTGACAAAAAACTTGACTCTTAGTTGTGGCAAAACAAACACTTGACCCCAGTTATGGATTACGATAATCCTGTAGTGATTATGTGGAACATAAACCCATGTTGAACCTTTCATATCAAAGCCCGGCCAGGCCACACGAGGTGTGTTTGACGTGGGGTGTGTTAGAAAGAGATACAAGTTCATTTACTATAGCGGGAGACTTTGGGGAGGGAGGGTCTGTGGCTGGAGGAGGGGAGAGAGCAAGGTAGAAAAAAGTTTGTGTGTGTGCATGAGTGTGTGAATGATCGCACATGCACATAGGCACGTATGTGGGTGTGTGTGTGGGATGGGGAAAAATGTGAGGTTTTCCTCCATCACTGTTTCACGACTATGACAGAAACCTTGTTTTTGGATTATCTGTCTTCTAAACAAAAAGTTATCTTCAGAACTTTCAAACCACTTTCAACCTATTCTGTGTCAAAAGGGCTGAGGTAAAGGGACTGAATGACCAACTCTTATAATTACAGCACTGTGTAAAAACCTGTTTTGCAGCATTTGTGATGTGTGCCGTCCTCTTGGGGCTTTCCCTTCTGGCTGACTAACTGTGACGTAGACGAGGGTGTGTGTCTTGGTCTGTGTGAGTGTTTGAGTGTAGTGGCAGGGAGGGGGTGGGTGGGAGAGACAGCTGTGCAGGCTAGATATGTAGTTAACAGTAGGAAGCATTCATACTACACATTCTACTGCAGTGTGTCACCAGACAGTCTCTCTCTCTCTCTCTCTCTCCCCCTGCTTCCCACTCTTTTTCCCTTCGCTTCTCACGTCTGTCTGTCTCCTATTTTTCCCCATCCCACACACACACGCGCACACATACGTGCCTGTGTGCATGTGCGATCCTTCACACACACACACATGCGCACTTTTCTCTCTCTTGCTCTCTCCCCTCCTCCAGCCACAGACTTGCCTTTACCCTCTCTCCCTCCCCAAAGTTTCCCGCTATAGTAAATTAACTTGTATCTATTTCCCTGGTTCCACTTTTACCACTATTTCCTCCTTCCTTCTGTGGAACTGTGCTTATTCCTGGATTACACCTCACCCACACATGTACAAACACACACACACACACCCTTTCCCTGAAAAAAGTAGAGGGAAAAATAAAAAGTCGCTTCAAGGACAACATAAAGCTGTTCTCGCCTCTCCCAGACGGGGTGTGTCAAGGCCTTTTGTCTGTCTGATGCCGTATTAAATATCTGAGTTAAAAGGAGGGGTGGGGGCTCAGTGTGCTTGTGCATATGTGTGCAAATGTCTCCAGATTTTTTGTTCTTTAGAGAGAAAGAATGTTGGCATGAAGCTAACCACCAGGGCAGAAGGGGAAGGTCGGGAGGGCTCAAGTCCTGCTCCAGGTTTGTTTCATTTCATTTGCTCTGTAATGAGTCTCGTTACTGCTGCGAGAGGCAGAGATCGGACCGGGGAGTTCAAAGTTAACCCACTGGGAGGGAGGAAGAAAAGTGGGGAAGGAGGGAGGAAGGGAGACTAAAAGCATACAAGCCCTCACTTGAAAACTTCTGAACATTTTGGAGGCAAGACAAGCGACAAAGACAAACTTTTTTACGCCTTCCTTTAGCCTTTCTTCTTCTTCCTGCTCCTCCTCCTCCTCACTGCCCCACACCCTTTTCAAATGATCCCTCTCGCCTCGAGCTCTGAAAAGAAACTGAAGCAGAGAGCTCGCAAGAGGTCTAAAAAAGTTGGCTGTGCCTGTGCATGACTGTGCGTCTGTGTGTCTACTGGAGTGTGTATACCTCTCAGAGTGTGTGTGTGTGTGTGTGTGTGTGTGTGTGTGTGTGTGTGTGTGTGTGCACGTCTTGGTCTGTGTGGGAATGATTACATCAGCCTGCTGCAGCCTTATGATTGGTTGGTGAGCGTGTGGTTTGATTCAGTGTGCCTCGGAGCCCGTGGCTGAGGCTGTAACCCTTTGTGAGGGGGAGAGAGAGAGAGGGAGGGAGAGAAAATAAGATAGTTGTCAGACTCAGCCGGCACTGGAAGCATTGTACTATACCTGCTGCCATCCGATCACTGACGGTCTCTGTGTCTCTGTCCTGTGAGCTGTAGAGACGCCGGCTTTAGGTCAGACAGTATTTTTAATTTTTTTTTAAAGATAGAGCCGGCGGCCTAGATAGACTGAAGGACTAGTCTCCAGGCTGTGTGACAGGTAGCGCGACTGTCAACTGTCTGCATCGAAATTTGTATCTTTCTTTCTGGAAGAGACAGGGCGACAGAACAGTGAGGTTTGCTGTCTTCTGGACTGTGTGTGAGTTGAGTGTGGGAGTGTGTGGGGGAGCCAGGCTCACTCCAAAAATGCCTTCGTGTTCCCCGGACTGCTGCCTATTGCGGGCCGTGGAGGTAAGACTGCTCTCTTTCGGTGTCTCCGCTCTCTCTCTCTCTCCTTGTGTGTCCCTGCCTCTCTTCCCCTCCTTCTCTTTTTACATTTTAAGACCACTTCTCTTTGAGGTACTGCTGTTCTTAACTCGAGGCAAGACGTGGAATGTGTAAATACCTTAAAAGCTGAGGACAATTTGTCTTTCTCAAGATGTAGAGCATCTTAAAAAAAATAGAGTAAAATACGTCAGCAGCTTTGAATGATTGAGGCTCCCCTTTGGTTTTCGTCTTGAGCATTTTGGATGGATAGAGCGCCTCAGGCCTGGCTTGTGCAAACTGTGATGTTATAAGCTTCATCTTGCATTTCAAGAAGAGAACAAAATTTCTTTGTCATGATATATCATTTGAGATGTGTGCATACATGACATGTGTAGGCTTATCAGGCTGGATTCCTCTGCAGGTTAAGTAGGCTACTCTAGTTCTCTCTGTGGTCCATTAAATGTGTATCCTGTGAATGTGACTGCATAGATTCTTTTTGAAAAGGCAACCTGTGGAGACTTAGTGGAAGTTTATTTTTGGACTATTTACCGTAAGTGGAACGGCAGTTATATTTCGTGGATTATTCGATGATCTCTAACAAGTTTCTCGCCAGCTCGCAGCTACAGTAGATACTGATATGCAATAATATCTGGCTATAAATGGATGTCTCTTACACAGATGGGAACTTAGAGTGGAGATAAAACCTATTCAGAGCACTATTGTTACACATTATACTGGACAGATCAGTAGTGGCTCAATATGTGCGTGTGAGTACCTGTTTGACTTAGCATTGTTAATAAAAACAAAATGGCAACAGGTGTTATTCATGGACTGGAAAAACTGCGATAAATTATTCAACAAAAAACTCATTCATTCTGAAATTTAATATGTCCATAGTGTTATTACTGGACTATCAAGTTATGGAAAAAGCACTTGTATGTGAAATTGTATGGTCATGTCTTATCTCTGGATCCTTGCATAAATTTCCTTGATAAGCTATAATTGGAAACACAATGTTTATGTCCCCTTAAGCTTCAGTACTATACTCATTTGGTATAGGCAGTCCTGCTTTGTGTTCACAAGAGCAGATGCTTGTTATACAGTATGTGTGTTTCTATATTACACCAACAAGTTGCTTTAAGAAATGCTTGTCTGTGATTTCTAACACCACAATTGCTGATCTTGAATATCTGTTCTTTTCTATTGTGTTCTATAATTACAGGCCTGTGTACGCTATAGTGTATGGGGCACTATATGATAAATACTATGCTAGTGTTTGAAGAAAATTGCTGGCTTCACCCACCCATTAGGCTGATTTTTTCTTTTTTTTTTTTTTTTTTAAATGGTTTATGTTAAATTACTTTATCACAACCCAGTATTCCCTGTGGGGTTACCATAAAAATTAATATTTAAAATGCTGTCTTATTCTACATTTATCTTTCGCAACTGGAAAGCTCTATCAGTCTTTTGTTTTTATAATTTTAAGGACACTCTTGTAACTGGCTTTAAAGAATTTAGATTTTTGCCTCTTGTAATTTACCAAACTATCTTAAATTACTTCTGTTTATTATAACTGAACTCTAATATATATCTCCTTATAGATTGTGAAGATCTTCAGTGAAGATGGCATGGGTAAAGTGGTGGAGATCCCAGCCGACATGACAGCCAGAGACCTGTGCCAGCTCTTGGTTTATAAAAGCCATTGTGTGGACGACAACAGTTGGGCACTTGTTGAACACCACCCACTGCTAGGACTAGGTAAGGGGCAGAGCCCTGCAGGCCTGAAACACTGTTCACTTACACACAAAAGCACACATGAACAGACACTCAAGCACACTCACTTGCCCACACAGAAACTCATGAACTTTTGGGTGGGCTGAGACATGCAATACAATCACAGGTGCCTTCACATATATATGCATGCATGCATGCATGGCTACATACTTGGGCAGACACATATTCTCACGCAGGCATATATTCATGCATAAGTGCATGTGCATACTATACAACATATGCACGCACTGAGCCATAATGTCCAGTGATCTAATCAAGGACAACACATTGGCCGTGTGAAAGGTTGCTGTGGCCGTGTGAAAGGTTGCTGTAGCAGTGTTGTAGTATGCAGATAAGTCATTGAGCACACACATTGAGCTGCTTGTCATTGAGAAATTTGGAGGTTCAATGTTTTGATCAGCTTGTGTGCAAACAGAAAGTGACGGAAATAGACAAGGCACTGCACATGAGGTCAGAGTGGCTTTAGCATTGACAGGCCATTGCTCTTCTTAGTCAATAGTAAGGAGAAAATTGCAAGTTAAGAAAAAAGCACTTTCAAGATGCCTGAGTTGTATGCACAGTATTTGTATGAGAGATGAAACAGTTGCTGCTAGATAACAGATTCAAGATTGTAAACTGATTAATAAGCCTACTCCTTGTCATCATAAAATCTGATGCTAATAACAGCTGTGTTGAGATTAATTAAATGATTGTCTTGTTAACTGACAATTCAGTTAAAGGAGGCTGTTATATGGGACTGATGAAGATTCTAGCTTCAGTGTGTAGTACGCTTGAAGAGCAATAAAATATGATGCATGTTTGAGCTTAGGGTTCCATAAAGTTATTCCGTGTAAGTGGAGACAGTCTTTCCCAGGGCCTTATTAAAGCTTACCAAAACTCTTGGGACCTCTTGGGGGAACCAGCAGAAACTGTCTTTGGTCCCAAATCATAAATTAAACATACACAGCAATTGATAAATGTTATAGTCCAGAAGCCTTAAGACTCTTTTGAGCACTACCGAGTAATTTAATTTGTTGTGGTGGTTGAGAGAAAAGTTTATGGTTTATGCAGGGGACAGAGGAAAGCAAGAGTATTGGATTCAGTATTTTACATCCTTCATTGATATTTTTTAGTGCGGGCAGGCTCATTTAAGGTCACTAGACTGCTTGGATTGAGGTCTTTTTTTAGACTCCTGATTCAAAGAAAAATCAGTATGGACAAAGATTGAGGACAGTTCCACCCCAGATTACTGTCGGTCACAAGCTACTGTTTAAGAATAATAATCATGCAGAAGATTACATTGTGGTGTTTTTCTCCTTAAATTGTTACCAACGGGGATTACGTGAAGGGCTCAGAGTGGAAGCCAGTAGATAAGAAGCTAAAGGAAGAGAAGGTGATAATTGAATGTCATGGATTAGGAGATGTAAATGACGAACGCTGTAACAAAACCTTTTCCAACTGGTGGCCTCTCAGTTTCAGGGACGGTGTAACGTTATCGATCCAGTACTATAAATGGCAGGGCACGGAGGTGATGGAAACGATTCATGAAGAGTTTTCATGTTAAAGGTTCTTTAGACCAGGGGTCTTGACACCACTCTCCTGAAAATAGAAGCCCTCACTGCAATAGACAGACACTTCGGGAATAATCTACTGTAGTGATGTGTTGGGACCAGCTCAGAAATGAAGACTAGTATTCTTGTTAGAACATCAAGTTTGATATAACAAATTTTTTGGCCAGTCATTAGAGAGGCTGTATGTTATACAGTAGATTCTTCATAGATTCAGGAGTAAACATTGCTTGAGGTATTTGAGAAAGTGGAGGGAAGGTGTTGCTCACTGAGCTTGGCACATTTTCTAAAGACTACGAGACCAGAACGCTCACTGCGTTGATATTCTTCAAAACCAAATGTGGCACTAAAATGACACAAGCAAAAGTGGAAAACAGTAGTCGAAAAAGATGCTCTATTCCAGCGTTTAATCAAGGAATTTGAACTTGTTGCTGTATTAAGAAGGACGAGAGCTTTGCGTTTCTGTCAGGGTGATTTTGTGTTACACTTGGCAGTATAACAGTGAGCTTGGAAAGCTGTGACCAGCTGAATGTTTGAAAACCCAACCTCCCCCTGAGGAGAGGGCGATTATAAAGCACTTATGGAAGACAAGTTGAGCCTGTGCTCTGTGCTCATGTCTGTACAGTTTAACAGATGTGGGAGAGAAGGGGGTGTAGTTTTATATAGAGCAGTGTGCCTGGAAGTTAAACATACTGTAGAAAGAGACATGGAGAAAAATATATGTGAAAACACTTTCTGTTGTTTTAACTTGTGTTTATGTTTTGCCAAATATTTAGTCTTACATCCACATACAGGCTGGTATACTGTCATGTGAGGAAACTTTTATAAAATATATAGCATTTTTTAAAGTACAGGTCCAAAAGCCCTAATCTAATATTTCACCATCCATCATGCTCTGATTGCATTTCTCATCAGTGCTGCCAACACGATGCTGCCAAATACAGTTAGGTCGGCTTGTTGTAAATGACATCATTTTTGGCTCGGAGTTAGTCTATTCTATTATAGCCCTTCTTCTATTCTGGCACACCTGTTCTGCAACCGTATTCTTTTCAGGTCTGGAATAACTACTTATCGTATTTTATGTTTAGGAGTTTCAGTAAATGAGATGTAATGAAGCGGCAGCGTGGTGATTGTTCAAATTGAAGGGTTACGCACTTGTGACTGAGTGTGTGTGTGTGTGGGGGGGGATCCTTAACAAAATACTATGCCCAAAATTATGTTAATCCGAATTGCTGTTAAAAAGGTAGGAAATATTTGAAGTTGAATTGCATTTAGTGGTAGTTGGAATCCCTCTCTGTATTGTAAGCATTATATATGTCTGACATATTCTAAACATTTAATTGGATATTTCAGCCAATGATTTGGCTTGTTTGGAGCTCTGTTAGTTGTGTGATTGCCAGACGTTTCCTATAGTTTGTTGGCTAGTTGCTTTTCATTTATAAACTCTGATTGTAATTGCGTTTAAATTACTTCTCCATGAGGTACTGATGTTTTTTCTAGTCCGTATACTGCATGTTGACTGAGCCACCGGAAACACCAAAAATATATAACACATGTTGTTAAATCATTTGAACTGTAGTTGCAATGGCTATATCTGCAGTCAGTTTTTTTTGGTCAACAGTATATAAAAGTTAAATGTCTCTCAAGTGTGTTTAGTGAAAATTGCCTACATGTAGATATACAGTTCTAGCCAATCACTTAATATTTTGGAGAATACTTTTATAATTATATATGAAGTGCTATACTATAGTATTATTTTATTATAGTATGAGATGAGGTAGTATGCGAAAGTCCTGTTTGTGTGTATGTACATGTGCACAAACCGTATGTCTGGACTGCACATGTATGTGCTGTTTTACTTCATGTGTGCACATGTGGTTGGTTGGTAGACGGGAATAAGAGTTTCAGAGAGACCCGAACAATGGTGTGTTTGAATAGAGGACCTATTTCCGTACATCGCTGCCCACTCTTGGTAAGCTGCTGAATTGGATGAAATGGCCCTTTGAGATAAGTAACATTGACCTCTACTTGTCAACATGAAAAGGTTAACAACTCTGGGACAGTGAGGTAGTGTTGCCAGGGTGAGTCACTGTCACGAACATGAGTGACTCATCAGACAGGCGACAAGAGGAAATGGAAAGAAAAAGAAGAGTCGTGACTGGGAGGATGAGGGAACACATGAAATGAGATAATGATGTGAATTAGATCTGTACAGTCAGGTTTCTATGAAGTTCTCCGTTTCACATCAAAAAGAGATATTAGACCAGATAGTGGTATTGCAAAAGATAGTGAACATTTTAATTAAATCTACTGGGGAAGGATGTCTTTTATTAAAGCCATGACAGAGAGAACTTGTAAGGCTGTTGGAAATGAGTCATAACAGACAAAGAATAGAAATCATCAGGACCTTTGACCACATCCATACAAAACCTCTCAAAACCGCACACACTTTTAATTGAATCATATCCTCTTTTATTTTGAAAGAGAAAGGCCCTGGTCTGATTATTAGTCATAGCTCGTTTGATAAGCACAAACAGTTGAAACCAGTCTGCATTTCTAAACATCTTTTTAGACCACTGAACAGGCCAAATGGAGCCCAGGATTAGTTCAGGGCATTTTGTACCATTCACCACTACAATAACACAATAATTGCCTAAAAAAATTAATTATGGTGAAATGAATTGTGTGGTCACACCAGTCATATATATCCTTTAAACCTGTATTTCCAGGTGCAGATGTTTGTAACTATGAGTGCGTCAAGAGATTATTGGCAGAGAATCAGTGCTTACTGGACTTATCATGGATAAGAAATGTATGTCTTAGCTACACTGTCTTAGAACAAACATCTGACTTGATGTAAAGATGTTTTTTTAACAACTCTAAAAAAAATGCACTGGTTAAAAGAAATGCTGTTTGATTGTCATTGGGAACAGGTGAGATAATCTCACACCACTGACATGATTTTGTTTTGAAAAAATAAGACGATTTTTGCTTAAAAATAGACCAAATTACATGTTGAGATGAACAGTGTGTAATTTTTCAGTTTCTGTTTTCAGTTTCATTTTGATGTCTTTCTTTTTCAGACATACCAGAAAGATTGAAGACAGATATTTCTGGAAAATTATAATATCTACAGAGGCCCATAGTACTTGTGTGACAAACTTTGGCAATGTAATTTAAGACTATAACATTCACATGTGGCCATTCACTCCTGTGACAGAACATGTTATATTAATGTATGTTTTGTAAGTAAAATTGTATATGTATTGTATATTATATGTGGTATAGTTGTAAGGAAATTATACAAATGGTTTGAAGAATAAACACCAACCTCCTTTGATGTTCTTGTTCCTCTCTCTGCCTGTCTCACCTCAGAGCGCTGTCTAGAAGACCATGAGCTGGTGGTTCAGGTCCAGGCCTCTATGAACAGCGACAGTAGATTCCTCTTCAGGAAGAACTATGCCAAATATGAATTCTTCAGAAACCCCCTGGTAAATTGCTTTTTCTTGGGAATTTTTTAACACGCTATATGACTCCTGATGTCTTCTTGTTGAAATATGTTACACATATAGCCTGTAAAAAAAAATCTGCATGGATTGTTTTTGCATTTTTGTGATTTTTTTAACACAATGCATTTTTAGGTCATTTGAAATAAACTGGATATGGATGTTAAAATTATAGCAGTATTACTCCTCATGATTTGTAGTATTTTGAGCATTCAGTCAAATGAAAAGGGACATTCAAGAGTTTACTAGTGACATTTGCTCTAAAGAGTGGCCACTTGCCTCGGAGATGAATGAAAGACGTGTTCGTCGACAAAGTGTCTCTCTTCATTTTGTATTCTTGTGAAATATTATGACAGCTGACTGCACTGATGGGATTTGCGTGATGTTCCTTTTTCTGTCACAAATTCCGACCCTATAATTATTGTCACAGTGGCTGATATTCTCTCTTGTCTGACTCCTCTCTCTCTCTCTCTCTCTCTCTCTCTCTCTCTCTCTCTCTCCACCCTCTCCTTCCACCAGACATTTTTCCCGGAGCACATGGTTGCATGGTGCCAGGAAACCAGTCGCACAATTCTACCATCTCAGCTCCTTCAGGTACATACAGCACACGCACGCACACACACACACACACACACACACACACACACACACACACACACACACACACACATTTTCCATGTGTCTCTCTCATTCTCTCTCCTCTTCGTGACACGCACACAGCTTAGTTACCTCAGAGTCAGCACCCGCTGCATACTGTACAATCAAGCTGACATACCTCACCTCTGACCCTTAGACAGTGTGTCTCGTCAGAGCCTGCAGTAATAACTACTGTTGATCCCCTGTTGACACATGACTGTCTCGGCACATGCACCGCAGGCCCGACACTTGTGATGAATGGAATTAGGCAGTCACATATAGAACATACAGTTCCCCATCTACCTACCGTATGTTTGCAATTCACACGCTTGTGTCATGCTACTTATCCGCCTCACAGACCACTCTCGGGCCACACTCGGATTTCACAAAAGATATGAAGAAAAGAAAAGGCCTGGGAGGAGACCAGACAAAAAGCTTCTTGGGATCTTGAAGAGCTTTGGTTTTAATGGATGGAGGGTTTACATGCAGTCTGGCTCTCTCCTGTATCAAGTAATGGAGCTGTCAGAGGCAAAACCACAAGTGGAATCCATCCCTTCATCCATGCCACTCACAGAAAGCTTTTAACTCCCCTGCTGATCATAGAGACGTTATGCTCCGTTATGCTCCACATAGAAGAGTCAATAAATGAATGGGGATGTGGTGAGCCTGAGTTGTGTCAGGAATCCCCAGTGTTTGACTTATTCTAAACACAAGATCTTTGCACTTAATTAGAGTGCTGTCCAAACCAAGACGGTTTCTGACCTGAGCTCAGCCAGGTGTTTGCAATATTTGCCATTATGCAAGAAACATATGTTAGTGCAAAGCAGCAGGGTGAAGTGCCTCAAAAAGAAAAGCTTTTTGAATGAACGTTCCAGAAAAATGGAAAGTGTTCATGCATGAGGCCCATTGTAGGATGTTTCCAAACACTAGGAAACGTGTGGAACAGTTTACCTTCTAGCCACAGGCCACAGATTCCAAATCAGCTCTAATAACTTAACCTGCCACTTCATGGTGTGACATTTTTGTAAAACATAGAAACAGCAAACCCGAAATACCCACAAGACAATTTAGACTTTAAAGGTTCACAAAAGGAATGTGCTGTGTGTTGATTCAACATATGTACTGTGTTTGTCTTAGAAAGGCACATTGCAAAGCATTAACCTTTGCTTAAATATTTAATAAAAATGTTTTTTTGAAATCAATTACAGGCCTTGCTTAAAACATCAGTAGATTATGCATATACTGTACATATTTATTTATGTGGATATACACACAACAATATAACATTGAAAAAGACAACATAATATAACAATAGCACAATGTCTGGCCTTATCGCTGGTCGACGTTTGTCAATACCGCGATGTGTAAGGATTCAAGCTGCTGCTCATCTTAAACATCAGCTGTCAGTCTTTCACTTAGCCCTAGTAATGTTGTGTTCTTTGATAGAAATCAGTTGTCTCCCGTCTGTGATGCCTCTGCAGATGGTGTCTGCTACAGCTTTCAGTATCTGGCTGTGATGGTGACCGAGTACTTAAAGGCTTCAGATGTGATCCAGTGTTGCCCTCAGAAGGACATAATAGAGTGAATGAATCCAAACTTTGTGTGCTGATACCCTGCTCCATGTCTTTCTTGCTCCCTCTTTCAGAACTTCCTAGCGACCAGTAGCTGTCCAGAGATCCAGGGGTACATGTATGTGAAGGAGGTGGGTAGAAAGTCGTGGAAGAAAGTGTATATGTTCCTGCGGCGCTCAGGACTCTACTGCTCTACAAAAGGAACCTCGAAGGTAACAGAAACTTCAAGGGCCAGAATATGTCTCATTGTAATATTTGTACCACGTACAAGTAATAGTTTATATGTATCCTGCATTAAAAGTTTACAAAAACACAGTAAATATTCCAGATTAAACATGATTACCTTCAAAGAATTAGCCTTTTATTGATGGTGGTCTTTCTGCACATCTCTCAGTCTATCAGCACCTCCAAGGCTATGTCTCGCTGTTATGTTCTAACTTATTAATTACATCCGTCTCCAGGAGCCCAGACATTTACAGTTACTAGCGGACCTTGAAGACAGCAACATCTTCACTGTCATCACAGGCAAAAAGCTGCATGGTGCACCCACAGACTACGGGTTCTGTATCAAGGTGAGTCTCAGATGACAGAAATGAGATGAAGCTGATTTCTAATGAAATATTATGAGCTGAGCAATGATTGACATCCTGTGCAGCTCCCTATCTCAGGCAGAGCGCGCTGGCATGCTTAGTTTTATATATGAGTGCTGAGTGCTGAGGTCCTGGTTTATTGCTGTGTTTCCAAATGTTTTAAAGTGTGTATATGTAATAAATGTTGTAGATGAGCAAACAGTTCAAGCATTTTTTTTCTCACGATCTTTATCAGCTCGTTAGCTCAGTTAATTCCATCAGTGATGTCAGTGATATTGGTTGTGCTGATAGCGAAGGTGATGAGGATTATCTATTTTGAAAAATGTCAATTCGCAGCCTAACAAAAGTCGAGGGGAGTTGAAGGAGTTGAGGATGATGTGTGCCGAGGATGAACAGGGCAGGACCTGTTGGATGACTGCCTTCCGGCTCTTTAAGGTAGAACCTAACAGTCTCAAAAATATATAGCATAGTTTTTTATGTGTTTTGTTTTTCTCTTCAGATCAAGAATTTCTAAAAACTGTGCCGGAATCAAAAATGAATCCCAAAAAAAAAGTTGCTGATTCCATTTAATAGACAACTAGCAATTTTTTTTATTTATTTATTTATTTATTTTGGTTGACCAGTGTCTTCCTCTTTCTTTACAGTATGGGATTGTGTTGTACCAGAATTACAAGATTCCTCAACAAAGAAAAACCTTACTTTCACACTTCTCGGCACCTGTGGTAAGTTTACCTCTTTATTTAAAATTCTGTTGAAGCACCTTCAAACCTAAAAGCAATCATTTCAGCGTAACAGGATTGTGTTGATAAAGTCCCAGATCTCAAGATCGCAAAACATTGATTGTGCAGAAATACTGTTGGAATGTCTGCACCAGGAAAAAGTTAAGGAGAATGATATTCACCAAAATGCTTACCTGTGGCGCCTCACTAGCTGAACCCAGGTCACTTGTGGTGCTGCCTTTGTGTTCACAATTTGACTGTCATGTATCTCTGTCTCCCCCTAGCGGAGTGTATCCGAGAACTCCCTTGTGGCAATGGATTTCTCAGGGAGGATAGGCCGGGTGATTGACAACCCTGTAGAAGCTCAGAGCGCTGCGATGGAGGAGGGACATGCATGGAGGGTGAGACACAGCCTCAGTTTTTATGTTCTCTCTGTCAACAATGCCAGGAGTGGAGGTGACAGTATATATTTTATAAATTTTTTTACAAAGGATATTGTAAACTTACAATTAAGAGTTTAAAATAATTTTACAATACAGTAATGACTGTTAAGTACATTCAGTTGTTACAAAATGTGAAGCCTCACCACCTCGTGTTGAGAAAAGCTGTAAATACAGTAGAATTACCCTGTCAAGTATACCAGATCATGAACTAATCCCTCTTATTTTGTCTGTGTCTGGCATCTCTCTCAGAAGAGGAGTACACGAATGAACATATTAGGCTCCCACAGTCCACTTCACCACTCCTCACTAAGCTCAGGTAAATGCAAAGACATTTAGGATCAACAAAATAATGACGATGATGATTGTTGCCTTTATTTAATTTCTGAAAGATTTTTCAAAATATACTTTAAAATGTATTTTTGATTTTCTATGCAGTCATCCACATAGCTCAGTTGTGGTTCCATGGCAGGATAACCAGAGAAGAATCCCATCGCATCATCCACCAGCAGGGACAAGTCGATGGGTAAGGGAGCAGGAGCTAAAACAACTGTTATACATACAGATTTCCTATTCACTGAATATACCCGAATCAGAAACAAAACAGTTAAATGTTTTCAACTGAATATTTTTCTCACAGCGTCCTCCTTTCTCTCATTGCACAGGTTGTTTCTGCTGAGAGTCAGTCAGAGTAACCCCAAGGCGTTTGTGCTCACATTGTGCCATCACCAGAAAATCAAACATTTCCAGATACTACCGGTATGCACTTCTTGCCATTTAATCATTATTTTTATATACTTTTATTAAATAGTGGGCACTGACTGTTGAAAATACATGTTACAATAGCAAGAAGCAATTGAAAAGGGTTTAAAGAATGGTTGGCCATATAACCTGTGCTCAACAGTTTTGAAGGTTAAATACAGTAGCAAGTACTAAAGTAGAGGCTATTATTATTAAAGCTGTTTTGTCTCATTTGTGACAAGTCTGGGTTTTTTTTTGGAGACAATAAAAAGCAAAAGTCTTCTGTACTCCCTTACAGATCATAGTATTTCATCTGTTGGCCCATTAGCTTTTCCTGATTGCCTACCGAAAAGCATTGTTTTTGTCAGCTATGTCACTCCTAGGCCAACCATTGTTTTGGCCTTTAAAATAAATACATGTCCTTTCTTTTCTCTTGCCATGCGGTGTGTCCCTGCTCCGGACCCTTTGACGCTGGCAGTGTGAAGAGGACGGCCAAGTCTTCTTTAGCCTTGACGATGGCGCCACCAAGTTCACCGACCTGATTCAGCTGGTGGAGTTCTACCAGCTCAACAGAGGAGTGCTGCCTTGTAAACTCAAACACCCGTGCACCGTTGTGGCCTTATGACATCTTCGGATCATCTGACCCCATGACCTCAATCACTTGACCTAACTCTGCCTAAAACAAACAAAACATAAAGAACCTTTCTGTTGGTTGGTTCTTTTTTTAAATCTTTATAAGAAGCTGGTGAATTGACTGATGTTTCGTTTTCTTTTTATATTGTTGTGAGTCTGCCGGAGACTGCTGACTTGTTGGATACCCTTTGGTTTGCATGGATGTTTGAGGAGTCGGATGCACAACTTGTTCACAAGGTTTCTCAGTCAAGAAGAGAGAAGATAAAGGAAATGAACACTGCCGTTTGTGTCAGTGCTGTTGCAAAATCTTCCACAATCTTGCTACCCATAGTCATCGATAAGCTTGGACACAGTAATCCTCAAGGTTGTATTATACAGCTCAAATGTATACTGCATTTCCTTTCAACTGGACAACCAGCAGGACAACTCAAGCTTTCGTGTTGGACCACTCTGCTCTCTGAGAACAAACAGTAGTCTTTGTCACATGTCCTCAAAGAATATACTGTAGATGGAGAGTTGATTGTCTCAGTTTTGCACTCATCGAAGTGGGAGTGGCCTTTGGCGGCGCATGACTTCCCCGCTGTCACATCACTTAACTGGGAGATGGTGCCACCGCCCTCTAGTGTCATAGGTATGTAAGGGCATGTCAAAATTCAACATGGATGAAGATTTGAAGGCGCCAGAAAAAGTGTTTGTTTTGAATCCCTTTTGAGGTTTGGAAACATGAGAAGTTTGTCAAGTCAAATTAGCCTGGAGAAAATGGCTGAGGAAAAATCCGGAACTGTTGAAATTAGTTCAAAGAAAGTATTTTTTTAAGTGTGGACATTATAAAATCTGCTTTGTCTACATTCACAGAAATGTATTTGCTAATCTCTGACCACACAGGGTTTCTTTTCTTAATGATACATTCATTGCAGTTATGTATTGTTATCAAGATTGTATTTAATATTTGTTTTTAAGTCCACCTTTTGCATTCTGGATAGTTGCAACTCTTCATTATTCACATAAGCTACAGTAAGGTCATTCTGTACTTGTTCTATTGCACGCTTCAGTTCCCTAAAGTATTTCCCATGCAACTTCCATAAAAATGAGTAAGCATTAATGTGTCATTCAGGGTGAAATAACTAGTAGAAAAGCAAGTAGAATTTTGTAACCAGGTCAACAGTTATGGTGACTGCAATGTTGAAAAGTGTAACCAGGGGAACCAAGCAATATGCAGTAGTTCACTGCAGGTAAAGGCATTATGATATCTGTTGCAGAAGATGAAGTGGGACAATGGAGAGTATCAATCTTTTGTTTGATTCTCCTCACCCACAGCACAGGAAAGGATAACCACTAGCATTTCCTTTAGGTCTTTTTCAAGTGACAGCAAATCAAATTAAACAAAAATGATCAATCATTGCGGCACAAAACTGGGTCAGCCCAGACATACAGTGGGTCCTTTGGGGAAACATCTGTCCTCATTCTGGGCCCTCTTTTCACATGTGTCACACATTGTTCCACAAATTGCCTCCTACCTGTTGGAAGTCAGTGAGACGTTATCAAACGTAAATGTGGCTAGGAACATGGTTTAGTGTTCTCCGACTCCACACCGATAGACTCTGTGCATTACATTCCATATAATGCGGCCTTCTTCCACCTGTAAGTACTTGTAAACCTACAGTATCACATACACACCTACTGCCTACTGCATGCCACATCTTTATGAGTTCAGGCAGGCTGTAAAAGAGGTAGTCGGTGTTGCTACAGTGTGGATAAAACATGTAAGGATAGAAGAGGATTGTAAACAAATGATAGCTGCCTCTCCTCTCTCTGTTCTTCTCGGCCTGTCTCACCTGGTCTCATCACACTTACTTTAGCCTGCTGTTGGATAAACTGAAATACACTCTTGGGCGTGGCAGCAACATAGAACTGGACATTTTAGGACTTAGTGTTCTGACTGCAAACTATTATTTTACCCCTGATTACAGAATAGCCCCTGGTACATGATGTGTTTTTGATTGACATAATAAAAGTGGCGTAATGCCAGCCAAGGTCAAAAAAGTATTTTAATGGATTTCCCTTTGTGTTTTGGCCACATCTACGATGGAGCCCCTGTAATTAACTGAAGTGAAAGGAACATTTCAACACGGTGTCTCTAGACAACCTGGATCAAATTTCCTTTTGAATAGATAGGGATACTTTTTTTAGCACCTATTGACCATGTCTAGCAGAACGGAACTAAATAGATAACACATGAAGAGCAACACCCAAAATCATATTCTGGGAAGAAATACTTGGAGTCACTCCCAGTAAATTTGGTTCATAATCATGCCCTTTGATATGTCTCACCACAAACAATGGTTTCCTTTGTTTTTTGTCTCTCTCTTTTTTTTTTTTGTTATTTAATGACTATGCCTGAAATTTCTAAAAACTCACACAGAAGTTTTATTTAGTCCAAGCTTTGGTTGTAGCTCTGGTTAGGTCACCAGCCAGAAGATGGTTAGATATCTATTTGTACTTATCTGTAATGCACACATCAACAGCCATGACTTATTTACCTGCAGGTTGTCTTAAAGTATATTGAACATCTGAGATGCAGAATAGCTGCACCGTATTGACTCTCTGTGCATGGTCACCGTTATTTATCTGAGATGCAATGACTCAATCATTTTTAAAGTACTGTTGCAGCAAAATGTATTTATTTATCTGGATGTGACTGATTACTTGAAAATTTTAAGATTTATTTTTCTCAGCGCTGTTCTCTACTGTTTTCTTTTGTCATTACCATGAAATGATTGACCAGTGTGTTCTGTTATTCTAATTATTGTTGTGGTAATGACATAGCATCTATTGATGTGTTTTGTTATCTTTATTTAGTTCAATTCAAAAGCAGTTTTGTCATCATCAACACTTGTTATGAAGTGATGTTTGAAAGCACACTGGCATCCATAGTGTTGACATTGTCATTCCAATAGATGACAGGTGGAATGTTGTGAAATTGCAAAACAAGTTTCCCAAAGCATTAGTCACTATTACTGTTAAATTAATTACTCTCCCGGATGTATAAAAATATAATCGTTACAATTACAACGCTTTTATGTTTAAAAGCCTCAGATTTTCTCAAGACTGTTTTGTTGTTGATCTAAACAAGAAAAAATTCATATGAATTAAAGTAAAAAAAGGCACAAATGTTTTGGGAAACTGGGTCAAATCAAACTCAACATTCTCATAACTCACTGTTGAAACTTCTTGCCTTGAAAAAAAATAATTGTAGAAATTGTTACATTCAAGTTAAACCGTTTCAATGAAAATCTTTTAATGCTTAGATTAGATATAATTGAAGAAATGCATAACAACACCCCCTGCCCCAACACACCGCACATACAGACACAGGCGTGTCACAATTTTAAAATTGCAATGAACAGGGATGTGATAAATCCATGTTATTGAAACCATACCAGAGCAACATTGTTAAATGGGTCACAGCATTGACCTCCTTTCAGCAGAATGAGGAAACTTAATTTATTAGGTAGGTTTTAGAATTTGCATGAATACATACATTCTTTTGTTGTTGCTGAAAGTCATCTTAAGCTAAACTTAATTCACTGAAGTTGATGCTAGCTGTGTCTACATTCAATCCCCTGAGAGTCTACCCACACTGCAGTCATCTTCAACTCCCATTATTACTTTTTCTTCTGGGTGAAGTGAATGGTAGCATTTGAGGAGGAACAGATGGCTTTTAAGGTGTAGTTAGCATTCACATTAAAAAATATATATATAAAGGTAAATGAAATTTGAAAACACAGAAAAAAGAAATCAGGCGATTTGTATGTCCACGTTTTTTACACTAAACAGAAATGAATGTCACTGGGTTGCTCAGGGTTCACTGGTAGCATGTTAAAAACTACTGGTCTCAGATCGCTAGGACTGTTATGTACAAGATGATGGATTCATAAATATTTGAGTTTCATTCAGTTTGGAGTTTTTACAACACACATGTGCCCCACCAAGCAAAATTTAGTAGATTCAGGACTATTTAAAGAGGACAGTAACAAAGCCTAAAATATTTGCCTGGCTACCTGAGATAATTTAAAAGCCCATCTCTAACAATGTTACCTATTCACATTTGGAAACAATTAGTGACCAGTTCATAAAACATTTTCAATTTTCATGCCCTGTTTTCTAGTAAAGTAGAAAAAATCATCTAATGTGATTCATTTCATCATTTTACGCTGTGTCTTACAGAGATAAACAAATAGACACTCAAACGTGTAAATAAAGGAACTAACAATGAAGCGCATTTCAGTTTTGGTAGCCAGGAAACTTGTAACAACAGATGGTGCCTCTGACGACTCCTCTTCCTTTGCACAAACCAGACCTAACATGTGGACCAAATGACAGACAAAGCTACCGTTCAGAGGGGACCGTTCGCCCCAGAAACCTTGTAGTCCATGAATACAATTCAAAAACAGAAAACGGCACTCTAAATGATTGTGGCGAAAGGTGACTGAGAGTGAATGCTCATATTTTGAGTTGAAGTTTCAGTTCAAAGTTGAAAGTGATTTGCCCCCTGTCCTGCAAAGATGGATTGATCGATTATCATCTTGAATTTTGTGCTTTTTCATAACATTGTCACAATGCAAGATACCATGGCTGTACAAATGAGTAAAATAAAAAATATATCTATATATGAAAATATAAACTTTTATGTATTTCAGGGAATGCAAAAAAGAAAACAGTAACTTATCTCTTTTTTGTAAGAGAGAGCTTCTGTATTCAAAATGTGCTTTGCTTCAATCTGTAAATAGTTGAATGGCTTATAAATCTTAATTGTAACCTTTTCAGGTATTTTTGTACAAATAAGGGACTGATATATTCTGTTTATTATAATTAGAATAAAACATTAATACATTGATATAAAAACCTGTGTTTGTCTTTATTGAGTGGAAATTTCCTTTGAAGCGTTTGCCAACTAAAGAATGTGACACTACTGTATTGGATGTATGCAACACATTTACACAGAGTGTAAACCATACTGTGTGTGCATTGGTTGTAATAACAATTGCATGAACAGTTTTGTGTTTTCAAGATTAATGTGTCCAGAATCTGAAAAACAAATGTTCAAAATTCCAGTTGCTATCCTTGGCAAAATTCACTTCTATTGAAAGAGTAACCCTTAGGTTTTCCAGTAGATGGTGCAATACAACAACAAGTTCAAGAGCTTACAAAATGATGTTAATCTAACGGTCACTTATTATGGGAAATGATTTAGCAACAATGGGGCCTACATGTATCCAATAAATCCCGTGAACAATTCAGTATGTGACATATAAATGCTAAAAACGTGGGCTCCCACAGTAAGAACACTGCATTGATCCTACTGAGAATTGACCCTTTTACACAAAGTGTGTCACACCCTTTGGATTATCAGTCATAAGATTAACATGCTTGAAGCTTTGCTGTCCGCTGCCAGAGTAACCTTCACATAATCTTTTCCAAAAACTCATGAAACAAAGTTAGTGTGCTATGTTTTCTGTATATCAGTATATGAGTTTTAAGATTGTTTCTATTGGTAGATGGATGGTCCCTGACACTTGACAGCCTGAACAGATCATGCCTGTACTGCCTGTATATCATTAGCAATACGGTTAGAGAATAAGAAATGCTAGGATTCATGCAGAACAAGTTCAAGTTTGCTGTTGTGCATCAGCCTTTTTTTAATGTCCTGCCCCATCCACCTGAGCTTCTCCCTGCTCTGTCTCCGCCGACAGAGATTAGCAGACTGGCGAGAATGGGAAAACATGAGTGTCACGTATGGTGCCCAGAGAACCTGATGTGAAGAGGGCAGAAAAGAGCTTGTGAGAAGTGCCTGTATGCAAAAAAACTCCAAGTATGCCAAAGAGTGAAATGTAGAAGTGCCGGTACTCGCCTACTACCGGCAAACTTCAAGCACTGAAATAAGTTGGCCAACTTATTTCACTCAGCGTGCAGAGACAAGGACACGGGAAGTAGCCTAATGATGCTGCAACCCCCACAGCACCCCAAAAACCTGGCAAGCTTGGAGTCCAATAACAGCTGGGACAGGAGGAGAGATGAGGCCAATGTGCTGCTGAGGAAATGGGGAAAAAGAAAGACAAGGTTCAATGACATCACAGAGAAAATCAACATCCTTCCCATAATCATGTAACAGAAACACACCAGTGACATCATGGTTTACTATCATTAGGAAAATTAGCATTTTGCATTGTCCAAGCCTGTTTCTGATTCCAACAATATGGAACCAGATTTTTTACTAATCACCTGGCAGTGGTAAATGTAGGCTATGGCATTGATTGGTAGGCAGATTCCAGTTGTAGTTTGAATGACCATTTATTGTGAAATACATAAATTCTTTCGACTTGAACTAAATGATTTTGCATGTGCTTGTAACGTAACGTTAGCTACACAACTAACTGGGTCACTCTTAGCATTCAGTGCCATTTGAGTCCCCATGATATAATATGGTGTATTTTGCATAAAATGAGCTAATACTTTTTAGTATTAGTACTACCATAGAAAAGAATGATATGTACCCAGGATTAATTCATTTAAAATAACTAGTTTGATTTTTGCGCAAGCAAACTAAACTGCGATGGGCCCCAATCATGTTTGCTCAACTTCAGTTACAAATATAAGTAATAAAAATCAAACTAATTCTACATTTTTCTTCATTGTTGTATAGCATTAGTTGTAATATTCCACATTTTTTGTCATTAATACATTTTTAAGGCTTGAAGTTTCAGTGTGTAAGTTTTAGTGGCATTTAGTGGTGACTGTTGCAAAGTGCAACCAATGGCTCATGTTGTTCCTCCAAGTGTGTTCATGTGCTCAAGTCAAAATGTGATATTAACATGTACACTACTGCAAAGATGTGCTGTATTAGCATTATCAGAGCATACATAAACAACACACAGACATCTAATTCACTCGACATGGACAGCAAGCTAATCGTTATAACCATATTACAAACTACATCAAAATATGTATATGCAATCTGTAATTTTGAAAGAATCAAAGTTCTGTGTTCTTTTTGTCCCATGTACACTTTATCTTTCTTATTGCAATAAAGATTTAAGAAGGAAAAGGAGATTCTGATTATTCAGACACCACATGAACACACCGCTCACGCCTCCCTTTCCAAGCGCGCAGGACAAGCTACAGTGTCCGACCCGCTCTGTTGGCTCTTATGCTAAATAATACGTGCTGGCCTCCTTTTGTCCAAATTTGTCTTCTTTTCTCACTTCTATTAAACCAGTTGACAACTACTACTACTAATGTTACTTGTTGATGTGGTTCTTCTTCGTACGTATTTAACACCCGTTTGTCCATTCGAGCTACTGTAGTAACCTGGCAGCGCAACATGGTGACGTCCGTATAAGAGCACGTGCGGTGTATGTAGATAGAAATGGCTCATTCTAAGGATGGATGCAGGAGCAGGAGGCTGGTGACGTGACTGAAGATCAGGACCAGAGTCTAAGGCCTGGTGTCCAGGACCAGAGACCGACGACAGGGAGTCTGACAGAAAAGCCAGTGAAGCCAGAGAATAAAGGGGCTGCTGTACTTCAGGGGAAACCAGAGTTTGCTGCAGTTCAGCAGAGTCAGGGATTTGCTGTAGCTCAGTTGCTGCAATTCTGTGACTGATGACTGGAGCAGTTCAGGTTCAGGGGATGGTTGCAGCTCAGGAACTAGTGACATTTTCAGCTTAGCAGGGACAGGAAGTAGCTGCAGCTCAGCAGGGACAGGAAGTTGCTGCAGCTCAGCAAGGACAGGAGTTGACTTAGACAAGACCAAAGGGAACACGCTGTTTTATATAGAGAAACAGAGAGGGCAGGATGATTTAACACATGAGGAACACATTAGGATAACGGGACTGACAGGAAACAATGCAAGACACAAATACCAGAGATAGACAACTTCAAAATAAAACAGGAAACGTGGAACAAAGGCTTCACTGACCAAACAAAACATAATCACGGACAAAGAAGGAGAGAGGGAGTAATAAATAACTACAACACATGAGGAACAATATTAACAGGAATAAAAAAGGAAAAACTAAAAAACAAAAACAAAAACAACAGACTTGCTTGCAAGAATTCCCATCACAAACTGAAGAGAGGTTACAAGAATGAAATGTTTCAAGTTTACTTCAAAGTTCATTTTAAAAGTAACACCACCTCATTAAATGATAAAAGTGTCTCAAATCAGATGGATGAAACTCTTCCGTGTCATGACATGAATTAAGAAGCATCTCCAAATCACTGGGGTCCAATAATAATTTTCATATTATTTATAGAACAATACAACAGGATTTACATAAAATCATGAGCAGCCCTCCAGTCATTTTTATTTTTATTTTTTTGGTATGACCTTTCTCACGCACTGAAATCCATAAAAATGTAATAATTTGGCCAATTTATCTGAAGCCAAAAAATCTATGTTAAAAGGCTGATAGGACACCCAAATTATATGTCTGTGCAGGTGTGTGGAGGCAAAGAAACCACAGCTTCTGAAACTCTTTGTGAATTTTTCTTACTGGGTTTCTTATATTGGCCCTGTTCCCATTGGCTGGCCTAGTAGGGGTTGGTGGGGTGGGGGTGGTTAGTGGCAAGATAAAAGGAGCAAATGTACTGCTTACAGACACAAACGCGTGCAACACGTGCCTGGCTGTCTGTCTGTCTGTTTGTGGACGCTAAAGGAGAGGATCCACCATCCAAACACCACGGCTGAAGCTCTCACGTTAAAATGTAAGTATGCACACACACATACACACATGCACATGCATACAAACATGTCTAATCCTATTTGAGATAAGGATAAGTGCTCTGCTTCTCAACAAGGGGAAAAGACATGCAGGGTGAAAAACACTTGTTGAATGATAAGGCACTAGTGTCGAGCAAAGGGCAATGTTCATATATTGTGCCAGTTGAATAGACAGGATGCCATTGATTTGTATGAGAATATAATATTTATATATATATATATATATAAATATATATATATATATCATGTTCCTACATTCTAACTAATTGATTGTTGTAAGACTGCAACAGGTTTATTAAGTTTAGCATGCTCCTGGTTTGCAGTTGACAAATAGGCTCATAAACGTTACTTTCCCTTAGTCATTAGGTTGTATGTCGATGTGATCAAGGAAATCTTGATGGGGCTCCGTCTTAAACTACCTTTTGACACTGTGTTATGAGAGAATGTATGTCTAACAGTAGTAAGTACAAACTGACCAAGATTTTCTACTCACCTTGTTAACGTGAAAGTAAACTAAGCTATGATCAGACTGGCTTAATGTGTTGGTAAGAGGGTCAAGGGTTCATTCATACATTTAAATTGTGCAAGCTCATACAAAAATGGGAAGCTCATACAATCTATGTCAATGAGCATGGCTTAGGCTCCATGGGTGTGTCTATACTGCTACTGCAGCTGTTATTGCACCCGCAGTAGTAAGTATGTTTTAACAATTCTGACGTTAGTATGTAATACAATGTAGTAAAAGTGTAATAGTTTTAAAAGAAACTGTTTCAATGTCTTTATACATTTTAAAATGTCCTGCAAACTAATTATTGAATGGCTGTTAGAATTCACATTTTCAGTGTAAGTAAGCGTCAAACTGAATCTATGTCCATAACATAAGTTCATGTTCATCCAGAGTGAAGTCATTTTGTTCGTTTGATAATACATTATCAACACTCAGGACCTCATTTGGCATCAATGATCTACAAAGATGAACTCAGTCATACCAAGTAGATCAAAGGTTAAACTTGAATTCTGGCTGTGAACAGGGGCGTTGTTAAGCTCGAAACATTGGGGGCTTAGCCCAGCCCCAAAATATTTGATGCTTTCACCTGATAATTGGTGAATTTTTCTGCATCAATTTCTGGTGGAAATGTTTTTATTTATGTAAAAGGAAACACAAAATTCAGGCGGCAGGTGATGACTGAAACTCTAAATCTCTACCAGAATCTAATGCAGTGCAGCTCTCAGGCATTCTGTGTTGCTTTCAGATATGTTTCTCCTGTAGATCAACTTTTCTCATGTAAAATCAGAAACTCCTGGACTTATATAGCTCATCTGTTTCAGCAGGTTTTCTGCTCATGTTCAAAATTTTCTACACATTCAGAATCTCTCCCACATATCTGCGTTCTCTGACATGTCCAGAAAAAAGTCAGAATATTATGAGAATAACATCATCATTTAATGAAAATTCTTCCTTCCCTATACTCTGCTGTGCATTAGGCTGCGTTATTGCACTGCTGACATGGTAGTATCCCCATCTGGGACTGTACTGGATGAGACAAGCACAGTGCTCTTCATCGGAGGGGAAAACTAGAACTGAAACACATGTGGTCAGGCAGAAATCTCACCACAAATCTGCACAAACGTTAACTTCATTCAGCACATCCAACAACATTTATATTTAAATGTTTGGAATTATTGCTAGGGACAATTTAGTAGTCCCTGACAAGCTCTGAAGCTGAAACCAATGCGCGGTCTCTCTTTCATTTCAATTAGCTTTATTGGCACAATGTTGCCAAAGCAAAAATTCACATTCACATATAAACAATAATACTAAAAGAAAGGGAGAGAAAAAATAAATAAAGCAAACTAAAACAAAATACACATATTTTTCCTCTTTTTCTCTCTCTCTGTCTCTCTCTGTCTCTCTCTCTCTCTTCTCTCTCTCTCTCTTCTCTCTCTCTCGCTGTCTTGCTCTAAATGCAGGCAGGCTGAGTAACAGCGGGGAGGTCGCGTTACTTGAACTTAAACTAAATGTAGCAATATTATTAGAAGTAGCCTCCATTCTTCGAGGCTGCGTCATGAAGATTATTGCATATTAATTCAGAAAATATTTTTGTTGTTGTTGTTGAGCTACATTCAGGGTCACAGTCTAAACATTTGGGGCTGAAGCCCCAGAAAAATGACCTGACGACGCCTATGGCTATGAATATGCTTATTCATTTGTTCACTGTTTTACTCTGTAGTGGCAGTCTATTTTAATCTGAAAGGAATCCTCAAGAATCCAACTAATTAAAGTATCAACAGCATACTGTTTAAGAAATGAAATGTTCCTGTGCTAAATTCCAGTGGTACCATGGATGCAGCAGAGTTTCGGCGCAGAGGGAGGGAGATGGTGGACTACGTGGCTGACTACCTGGAGAACATAGAACAGCGACCAGTGTATCCAGATGTGGAACCGGGTTATCTTCGTTCCTTGATTCCCACTGAGGCACCACTGGAGCCTGAGAGTTATGAGGATATTATGAAAGATGTGGAGAGGGTGATATTGCCAGGGGTGAGCTTGATTTGCTGATGCACACAATGGTGTTTTTTGCTTGTGCTATCCTGACAGTATAGTTCAATTAAATAATATAAGTATAATATAATATAATAATTTAAAAGCCTTTTGGACATTTTGGAAAGTAATACTGGTGTTGAGGCAACGGCTTTTCTTTTGTGGAATCATGTCTATACATTTTGACAATATATTAAGTAATATGATTACAACAAGCTGATTCAGTATCTTCCCTGACCAATCACAAATTATTGACATCAGTATTAGGAGGTTTAGTCCATATATTCACATTAGCAATTTTGCTATACCACTAATTAAACAAAACCTTTCTCACGTCCCACGATGTAAGTAGCTTTTTAACAAGGATGCTCAGCAACAGTTGATTTGAATAAATTAAGGCCTCTACAAAGCCTGTTTTGACATTCATACTGCAAACCAGTGCTGCTTAATATATGTTTAATGTACCTCCTTTATGTACATTATAACTTTTTGAGACACTATTAGAAATGAGGGCAAGTGTTGGCAATATGTTGGTTCATTGGAATGCACTGTTACCATGTAGCAAAAAAATATACATTCAGATTCCTTCCTTTCCTTTGATTTATTTGTCAGTTTTATGAAGGTACATAAAACAAAATGTTTTGCGTTCAAAACCACCTGGCCAGTTATAAGACTTTCAGTGCAATCGATATATTAATAAATATCTTTTGCACGGTAAAAACTTATAAAATCAGTGCAGACAAAGTGCAGGTAAAGTGTGGTAACGATAACACTTATCATTGAACGTGCAGGTACTGATTCATCAGTCTGATCACCAAAGTTCTTGAACAGATGCTCCTGTACCTTCCCCATATAGCAGGAGGCGGATGTCCTTGGTTTAAGTCTCATTCCTTTTATAGAGTTGGCATGTACTACCCATCTTTGCATTGTTTACCTCCCACAGTCCAAAAATATAACAGTTGGAAACATGTAAGTGCTACTCAGTGCTGCGTGAGCTGTAATTTCTGCTGAACCTACAGTCTAGCATTGGGTTTCTCAATGAACAGAGGTCCTTTTAAAATCAAGTGTCGCTCTCTTCTGTCCTGCAACAGTGTCTCTCCAACACCTTCATTCTATTCCTTCCAAAAATTGGAAAATACAGTTTATTTCACATATTAATTTCTTTGTGGCTTAAAAAGTGGCAGTCAGAAAAAACGCCTTCTGTGGTCTTTGGCAGTAAGTCACCTCTGCTGAAAGTGAGGAGTATTCCTGGTTACTTCATGCAACTTGTTGCCATGATGACTAGCCAGTAGTTTTCCCTAGCTAATTTGACTAATTATAGTAATTCTAGCAAAATGGCAAATTTGATCTTGCTTTCATATTAATGAGGCATGTTTTATCTGTATGCAGATCACCCACTGGCACAGCCCACACTTTTTTGCCTACTTTCCAGCTGCTTCCTCTTACCCCGCCATGCTGGCCGACATGCTGTGTGGAGCCATTGGCTGTATTGGATTCTCCTGGGTAACAAACATTTTGACTTTGTCCCTGCATATGACTCTGTATTTCAAGACTGTCTGTTTCTTTAATTCATATTTACATGCAAACAGAACATTTGAGATTGTTGTTTGTATTTTTGGGTGTGTGTTTCAGGCTGCCAGCCCAGCCTGTACAGAGTTGGAGACGGTGATGTTAGATTGGCTGGCGAAAATGCTGCAACTGCCTGAGCATTTTATAGCTGGGACGCATGGCCACGGAGGAGGTGTCATCCAGGTAAGTGTACTTATGCTTTTGTGTGTACTGCACAAATGTTCTCAAGCAGTCCAAGGAGTCAAACCAACGTCTGCTCACATTTTGAAACATTTGTAAAGGCTCAAATACAGCCTTTAATTGGCTTCCAGGAACCATGACTTTGTTGTAAATGCATTTCCATGATTTATCCATTTTGAATGTCAGTTTTTCTTTCAGGAAAAACAAACGTGTCTAAATACACTGAGTGCCCCATAACCCATATTCATCAGCAATTTGTCTACTATTGATTTGTCGTTTCTTTCTCTCCCTGGTTCACACCAGCTGAAAATTGGCAGGAAATTGCCTTTTAATACGTCATCCGCAGGCAGACAGAGATGACTCTGATGGTGCTGGGATTGTTTCATGTGGCAAAAGGCTAAGCATTAGTTTAGTGCAGAGGATGCTATCTATCTATATATATATATATATATGTGTGTGTGTGTGTGTGTGTGTGTGTGTGTGTCGGGGGATAGTGAGTATTGAAGCATGAGAGTGCCCTCTGATGACAGATCATTTCATGCCTCTTCTATTGTTACCACCTGAGTGTGTGTGTGCTCATCTGGTTCATCGTGTTTTTGTTTCTATCTGCCACTCTCCTTTTTAAGTGCAGCTTACCAGCTCACTATGGCAACGAATAAGGCTCTTCTCACTGCAGCAAGGCTAATGAGTGTTGTGACAGCACATTGCCAGCCTATTATTATAAACCTTATACCAACACAAAGAAATGAGATGGTTTTGAAAAAGACCCTCTGGTGACCTTGAATTTTCCTTTTTACCCCTTTGTCAATAATCAGACTTTTAGGTATCACAAAAGATTACATAGTCTAATTGACTTAAGCATTAGAGAAAAAATAATAGCATGTGTTTTTCATTCTACAGTACTTTCTATGTAAAGTTGTTTTTGACAAAAACTGCATCATCTTTAGCAGTGAAACATCACTTCTTATCCTTAAGAGTAGGTTTGCCGTTTAAATTTTCAGCTGTTAAAGGAAAAGGGGTTTATGGTAAAATTCCCACTCAGTTACATTTGTAAAAGATCAGGTTATACTTCACCATTACTAGTGGATAGGAGGATGGATGAAAGTTGGTGGACCTTTATAAAGGCTGCCAGGCTAGTGCTTAGTGCTTTGTAAGCACAGAAATGACAGGAAGTACACTTGGGTCATTTGGAAGCTTGAGGTTTGCTTTTTTAGACAGTTTCAAATTGTTTGATGGATATGTTGATTTACTGATTTGTTCTGTGGGTCCCTAACATCTTTAAGGTCTGTCTTAATTTAGCACTTGTTCCGACACAACTGACATGGCCTTTATCAGCGTGCTGGTCTGGCGAGAGATTTGTGCTTATTGATTGAATGATTTGAACACTTCATTGACTTTCTTGTGTTAATGCCCCCAGATGCCTCAGAAGCCACGCTTCACTTCATTATGTAGCCTCAAGCAATTCTCGGTATCAGGCTGGCTGCATGTTGACTCACCACACACTTTCTAAATACAGTTATTTTCTCCTCTCATGAGGATGTTGAAGTGTCACAATGTTCAATCAAAGGTTCATTACATTGACTAAATGTTCAGCTCTGTGTGTGTCTGTGTTTTTAAAGGGTCTGGGTATAGTTGTATAGAGCATCAATAGGACACACACATTACAGGCCAGCACCAAAAAGTTAATAGATTATTGTCCTATCAGGTTTACAGTATATTTATCAATTACGAACATACAGTAGGAATGCTCACATAATCAGTTAACACTGGGTATGTATACATGCATATTTACATGCCAATTATATTCACCATTGTTTTAAAAATGTGTGAGCAGGTGCATGTTATCACCATATTGTATTTATAGTACCAAAGTATTCCACCAAAAGCATGTAGTACCACCACTGACTGGTGGTACTACATGCTGTCCTTTGCTAAAAACCAACATAAACCCTTGCTACTGTGACTGATTGGATTAATCCACCACTCAGTGGACTTTGTGATTCAGGTCCTAAAGCTGGAAAACCACACAGCTTTTCAGTAAACACAAGAAGTGTTTAATTTTTAGTTCAGATTTTTAAAAGATAATGATGAACTGCAGCAGCCCCAGCTTTTAGTTTGTAGCTGAAACAGCACTGATGTAAGCCCATCGTACAAAACTTCTTGAAAAACAAGGTACAAGCTACAAGATAGATTTAAAACACTGGGTTATTTGATTTTTGCCTTTTTAAATATAGGTAATATTCAAGTTTGGTTTAAAATCCACAACAGTGGAGCAGCATTGCTTGACAAGTTCCCTCTAATTCTCCAACAGGGCACAGCCAGTGAGGCAACCCTGGTGTCTTTGCTCGCTGCCCGCTGTAAAGTAATCCGATGGGTCCAGGCCTCAAACCCTGAAAAATCAGAAAGTGAAATCCTTTCCAAAGTGGTGGCGTACACCTCTGAGCAAGTAAGCACAAACATATGTTACCAATATTACGTATGTACTTTTTAATGCAGAGACTAAGCTAGCTTCCTTTAATTTTACCCACATTTCTGACTTTACACATACATTTTTATTGCCTACCATTTTCAAGTATTAACAAATAATTATGTTTTAAAAATGCATTTACCAATGTTTGTCTTTTTTTATTTTAATCTGACTGTTTGTCAATATACTTAGGCAACCTTTCAGCTATACTAAACAACACCTTCAAATTCACTGCAGCTGTATGATCTTATTGAATAGCCAATGTGTTGTATAATAAAATACAATGCCACAGTGCATTTGCAAAGTTTCTGCAAATATGTTGATTTCTGTAAATCCTATCAGTTCTTTCAAAGATTCTGGAAAAAATTGTTGCAGAACAACTGGTTGACCACCTTGAAAATAATTTACTTATTTATCCTAAACAATTTGGATTTAGACCGGGGTATTCAACTGAAATGGCCAACTGCTACCTCACTGAAAACATCAAATCCTCATTAGATAAGGGTAATGTAGTTGGAGCAGTGTTTATAGATCTTAAACAGGCCTTTGATACTGTGAACCATGAAGTGCTTTTGAACAAACTAAGTACTTTTAACTTTTCTGATCAAGCAACTGGCTGGTTTCCATCTCGAATCAAGAGAGCAGCATGTAAAAATCAATGCAGAATATTCAACCCCCTGACAATCTACAATGGGAATTCCACAAGGCTCGATTTTGGGGCCTCTGCTCTTCAGCCTATACATAAACGACTTACCATCATGTTGCAAAAAAGCTGGATGTTAGATGTATGCTGATAACACAATTATCAATGTAGCAGCCAAAACCCCTTGTGTAGCAGCAGAGATATTAACAACGCGAAATGGAGGGAGTATCTCTATGGCTTAAAAACAATCACTTAACTCTGAAGACTGTGTCAATGTGTTTTTCCATGAGAAGGAAAGCAACAGAAAAGTTTATAATTAGAATAAATCAAGAGGAAATTGAGGAAGTCAATGATTTTAAATTCCTAGGTGTCATTTTGGACCCCAAACTTAAATTTGCTAAACATGTTAAACAATGCAAAACTGTAAAGACTAATTTGAATTGTTTTAGAATGATTAGACAATATATACCCCTCAAGGCAGCTCAACTTTATGCATGCCATGATATTCTCCCATCTTCCTTATTGTGTTACTGTATGGAGCCAGGCTTCACAGTCAACTTTTAAACCCATTATATCACTATAAAAACAAGCACTGAAAATAATGGATCAAAAACAAATGAAATGGCATCATTGTATAATACTGAAAATATATATATATAATTTGCTTGGTTATTAAGTTTTCTTTTATGAAATTGATTTTTAAATGAATAATGAATGTGTGAATAATCTTGCTCCAGCTGTACTTTGTCCATATGTGACAAAAACAAATACTAATAGAATCACCACTAGGGGAAAAGCTAATGGCAACTGCAAGGTGGCACAGCGCAAAACCACTTTTGGTCAGTCATCCTTCTCTGTAAAAGGGATAAATTTTTGGAATGCCCTACCAACAGAAATAAAAACACACACCAATCGGAAAGCATTTAATGAAAAGGTGAAGCACTGGCTGAAACAAAACCAGATCTGATCACTTATCATGCCTTGTGCAGACGCACTTATAAATGGACGTGTCCATACGGATATAGAGATACAGACACACACGCACACGCACACACACTCACACACACACAAACACAGATATATGTATATAATGTGACTATTTATTTTGTTTTTTGTTTTTTCCTGACTGGTGTGTTTATGTTCTTTGTTTGTTTGTTTGTTGTTGTTTGTTTCTGTTTTCTTGGTAATAGTGATGTATGTAGCCTAACCAGGGACAGGGGTTGCAAATTAGCTTCAGCTAGAAACCCTATATGCAACACATATTTTCATGTTGTTGTAACCTGTTACAATGTGTCTCTTTTGCATTGTCCCTGACAAATTTAAAATAAAAAAAAAGGTCTTGCTCAACAGCAGTTCAAGTGAACTCCCAGTAATAGTAAAAGAGTTTTTCAGTGATTGAGGGAGACAGAGGGTCAGTCAGGCAGTAGCTAGCTCTGATCAGGTTTAATACCAGGCTGACTTTGTGATTAGGTTAAGGACTTGCTTGAGGGCCACACAGACCTTTACAGGGAGAGCAGTTTGGTGTTTTTCTACTGAAGAAAACCATTTGATTGCAAGTTTTGAGGATGAGTATGGTACAGGCTTATCTAAAATTCAACAACCTCAGGAATCTGTAATTATAAAGGTATAATCTGAATCAGAATCAGCTTTATTGGCCAACTATGTCTACACATGCAAGGAATTTCATCGTTGCTCCCAATATTTGACAGTGGATTTTTCAGGACGATAGATAGAAATAGACATACAGATAAAAAGGACAACAAAGCTGAATAAGGTAGGTAAAAATAAACACAGGACCATGATGTACATACAAGTAGATGAATTTATCTATATATAAATAATCTGTACATAAAAGCAACAATGAACAACAACATACTTAATATCTATATACATACAAGTCAGTCTAATCTGTAAATTGTGAACAAGAATAAGATTGTTCGGGAATAAATGTGGCGGTTATAAATACTAAATGATTTATGTACTTCATATACGTGAAGTAGGTGGATATGTACAGTATGCATACATGTATATATACAGTATTTAAAGTATGCTTAAATTTATATTTGACAATTATGATTATATGGTAAGTACAGTGTGTATTTACACTATAATATATAATTTATCAATTGTAGGTTATGGTGTTTTAAAACAAGTTTAAAATTTTATTAAAGAATATTATAAACTCAAAAATAATATAGATTTCTCTTGACCCTCCTCTTATCTTCACACCTCTTTTCACGCTTCCCTTCATGTGAGCGAGATACACGCTCATGTGTATTCAAGGAGGCCTTTTTTATCTAAAAAGTCGAGTTGCAGCAAGAGCGGACTTTCGTTTCCTCTTTACTGGAAATCAACGTCTAATCTGAAATCTGATTATGAACAACCATAGGTCTCTGGAGGCCGAGCAAAAGTCAGGGCTCAGACTGCAGAGACGCACAAAAATATAAAACAGTATATCAAACAAAACATCTTGCTTACTTTAACTTTGTAGTTTGTACTGTGCAATCTGAGCTAAGCAATCAACAATGATCAGTCTTAAAACACAGGCCATCAGAATTAAAGCACAAGCAAATCATGTTACTATATGGCTTGTAAGTATATGTGTCAGGCAGTCAAACGTCTCATGTCCTTTTCCTCACATTTATCTCATTCTCACAACAATATATATATATGTACATTTTTCAATCAAACTTATTAGCATGCATAGTCCAAGAGTCCATAGTCCAAAAATATGAATGTGATTTCATCTTTCATCTCTTCCTCCTAAGGCTCATTCCTCAGTTGAACGTGCTGCTCTGATTGGAGGAGTACTGATGAGACAGGTTCCTACAGACAACAGCTATGCTGTCAGAGGAGACATGCTTAAGAAGATGGTGGAGGAGGACAAAGCTGCTGGACTCATCCCTTTCTATGTAAGAAGTTACAAAAATCAACATCCAGCCAGCAAACTACCTCAGAACTAACACACAGACAGACCCACAGCAACATCTCCATCTTTAGATAATTTTTACATTAAGTTTCACACATCTGTTATTGGATTGTTTTTGCTTCTACCACCTACACAACTGCTCACTGGGTTAACAGCCACAATGTGATTCTGCTGTGTGTACCCTGAGGCTTCTGTTTAAGGACAATGTTTTTGTTGAGCCTAATGTATTTCTATCTAGTTAAGGACAATAATCCCTGTCTCATGTGGGCCTACAGATCACCATCAGTGAGCAATAATCAGGAGGCTGCAGCTCTGAATCATCTGTGTATATCAAAACTGATATCCAGATCTATGTTTGAATAAAACATTTATATCTGTGCTTGTTTAAAAGCAATATGTTACAGCAGCTGCAAGGACCGTGAATTTGTATTTTATTTTCCTGTACAAAATGTGTAACAAAGCACTTTGAGGTGTAAAGGATTTATATGCTTGTGTTTTTCAGTTCTGTGCAACTCTCGGCACCACTTCATCATGTGCTTTTGATCACATCAACGAGCTGGGTCCCTTATGTGAGTCAACTGTTGCAGCAACACACACACTTGATTTTTTTGAAAAGGAAGGGAAGAGAAATACTCAAGAGGGAGTCAGGGTGAATGTAAGAAACCTCTATTCCCTGCAACTAAGCATACTGTATTCAGTGAGTTTTCCCAATGCTCAGTCTACATTTTTATGATCCTCAATTATACCCAGCTAAAAGATAAACCACTTCAATTAATTGATCCGTGTATTTCTTTTTTGAGAAACAACTTACGAATGTGACTGTTTGTAATAATTCATTCATCATAGTTTTATACCCCAGTTATTAAATCTGGGTTGACGAAAGTAATTGTTTTACAGAAGTTAATAACCTCTCTGTTTCTTGACTGTTCCAGGTAATGAGGAAAACATGTGGATGCACATTGATGCAGCGTATGCTGGGAGCGCATTTATTTGTCCCGAATTTAGGCATTTGTTAAACGGCATTGAGGTGTGTAAAGATATGCAAGCACTTAAGTTCATATACTATAACGCAATTAATAACAGTGTTTTGGTGAGAATGTTTTAGCTTCTTGGTAAAATTTCTTTGACTAGGTCGCTCCAACAATGCTCATGAGAAAAATGATGTGATAGGATTTTAACCTTGATCAAACCATGTGTAGGACGGATTTAATATGGCTTAAGAGTGGTCAAAAACTTGAAGTGTGCATCCAAGTGGACAGATACATGTTGCTGCTGAACGACAAGACAACCTATTTCTGTTCAATTGGTTGTGAAATATCTCTAATAACATCTATGAAAGGACACACAACTGCATACTTATTATATCTAGCTGCTTTATTTCTGTTTGAAAATAGTATAACGTTAATGTCAAGGAGGAAGCATGCAAGAGTGAGTAATAGGGCCAAACAATTTGCATTAGCGCAGGAGCATCAATCTGCCTTTTGAGGCTGCCGAGGCAGCTGTTGCTCCCCAAGCTGTGCAGAGATGCAGAGATAAGGACAGAGTAATTTCCTGAGGCAGCGTTAGACCTTTATATATCACTGTTTATTAGACACAGAAGTTCAAACAATGTTGGTGGGGAGACAGAGAAAGTGACTTGACTGTAAAAGGACCAAATGTTGTTTCACATTTTTTCCTACTGACAATTAGTGGTAAAATTTGCAATTGATTAAGTACAGTAACACATTTTTATTTCCACAATCTTGCATTTTAGTATTTTTTAGGGTCCTACTTTAAGGAGGTGGAGAGAAATTCACAAATTGATTTAAAACACATGCAATAATATTTAGTAGAATTCATGTACTGTAGTTATAGTATATAACTTTGCAACATTATGAGGTCAATGGAAATTATTGGACGAGGACCAGAAGAAGGAACAAAGCCTTTTAGGATGAGAGTGCAGCCCTGCTCGAGGGTTGGTTGCTAGGATATGAGTGACGGGCGGGCAGGCAACCTTTGAATCAGTCAGCATGGCAACTGTCAGCCAGGATTGTCTCTCACATTGTCTCTCTACACTGTATTATTGCATTTATGGAGGTAGAGAAAAGGATATTACAAAAGATAGTCAACAAAAAGATGAGAACAGATTAGGAAAGGTTTCTCTCTCGTTGAATAAACCCTACCAGGAAAGGATTATTTTCCTTGTGCCCTGTGAGCTGTAGGCTGGATGTTCCTCTTTTGCATTTCAAATAAATTGTGCCTGCTTTAGTCTAGATAATGCTGTGGGTGAAAAGGTTGTCTTTGCATCAGTAATGGGAAATACATATATATTATGGTGTGTTTTGCAAAAGCAAATTATTCAAATTGTGCTAATGTTACATTAAACATATTAAAACCAATTATAGCATTTAATTTTCCTCTGGGCAACTTAGTAAATCCCAGCCAAACTACAGACCTCACTGAAAACCACTGACATTAAATTAAATCCTGAATGTTTTGTGTTATTTTTTGTTACTTCCCACCTGTCATTCCAGCAAGACATCAAACAATGTGGCTTCATTAGTTATTTATTCTGGTTTCTTTTTTAAGTTTGCAGACTCTTTCAACTTCAACCCACACAAATGGCTTTTAATCAATTTTGACTGCTCTACAATGTGGTAAGTTGCCGTACTGTTCTGCTATATCTGTGTACACAATCCAGCAACCACTAATATTGGGTACATTATTGGTATGTGGATACATGTAGTATGTCATTGAGCTGACAAAATGACCTGTTAAATAAAAGAACAATTGTCAATTGCTTTTTTTTAAGAATCTAGCACGTTCTGTATTTTGTAATTTGTCAGAGCACTTTACCTGAGTGACTCATGGTCCAAAGTAACAATGAGTTGTGTCATCACAAACAGATATCCATCTACAATTCAGTTATTTGCACAGCAAAAATAGAACTACGCCTTCCATCTGCCCATTCTGTCAGCAGCAAACAAAACGAGACAGGCTCTGCACAAGATGGAAACAGAGGTGTTTCAAAACCTCAACATGTGGTATAGGGAAGAGAACCCTTTTTCATCACCTCTGGCTCAGAATGAATTTTGTTTCACATACTGATTTATTAGATTTAATGCAATATTGAGACTTACTACATAATAGTCTTTACTGTCTACTGTAGTACAACATACTAACAATATGGTGTAGTACAGTATATTATAACTTATTTACAAATATAAAACAGAATTTGTACATTTTACAATGTGTGATTCTAAAAGATTTCTAAGATTAAATGATCCAGTAATATTATTTCTGCTTGTCAACACTTATCAACAGGGTGAAGAAGAGAGCGGACATTATTGGTGCCTTCAAGGTGGAACCACTTTATCTGAAACACGAAAACCAGGAGTCAGGTAGAGTCATTTCGCTAAAATTAAATAAACATTCATTAAGACTTTTTCGTGTTCATGACAGGTGTCATGTCATGGTTTTGTCATGTCAAAGTCATGTCAGTCTTATGCATAGCACCCTCCTTCAAATAAAGTCTTACCAATTATTTGAATTAATGACCACAGATCAGGTTGGTGGAACATGGGGTCTATGGCATAACATAAAGACAACAAAGAACAGCTGTGACCTTGTTTACTGCTCACAATGTGAGGAAGGTGGTTAGTGTACTCATTCATTTGAGCCAAAATGCACACATTCCCAATTCAACAATAACTGCTGAAGCATTGCATCAACATCTAAAAATGCAGTGCAGTATAGCCTAAACCAGATAAACACAGGCATGAAGATGAATGTGTAACAACCAGGGAATGCAATCTGTCCATCAAGGGTTAGTGTTAGTTAAAAATATATTTGTGTGTGTGTGTAAGCGCTGGCTTCTGTGAGCCAGCTTAATAATTTCATAATTCCATCCTACCAAAATTTAAGCTGATTTACTGTATTTGTGACCTAATGAAATGAATACACGCGATTAGCATCTTGCAAGACAGGACTTCTTGGAAATGTGAGAGAGACTTGGTAAGACTATAAACTTTGCCTGGGATCAAAATCAAAACAAAAACAAACCAGACTTCACTTCACTTCACTCTGTGTATATGATTGTGCTACTATGGCGCATGCTGATGTACTTGCTCCTAGCCTGCAGATGGGCTCAGATCTGCTCTATAATTTGTCTGACACAGAAGCAGGCATATAGAAAGACTAACAGCTACCTCCCACCACACTGAGGCACCTTACAAAAGCCTTCGCTCACAATCTGGACTCTTCAATCTAATTAGTGGTTATTAGCACCCACTAACATGAGCCTCCATTCTTTAGAGATGAGATATCTGTAGCCAATGGTCTGTGTGGACTGAAAGTGATCAGTGACATATATTGTCGGGGGTGGACACGATGACAGCAACACCTGGATAATAGAAAGCAAGCCAAAATACAAGCTTTACAACATAAGCTAATGTCAGAGCTTTATTGACTTTATTGCTGCAAACTGAAATCTCTGTTAGGAGAAATTATTCTTATTTTTGCATATCTTAATAGGATCTACTGGCAAGGCACACTGTCATTGGTTATAGAGGCATTTGCGCACAATGTGCACATGGACCCTTAAATAAATTGAACAGCTGAATTAACAATTATTTGTATATGATGTGACATTACTAACTGATTTCAGCATTTGTTTTTTCAACAGGGCTGATCACAGACTATAGGGTAAGAGCAATTATTATTAGTTTTGTTTCCACAATTTACAAGAAAGTGGAAAGCCTTGGTTAATAATACACTTGCAATATACAACAGAAGTTAAAGCTATAATCACTCCCCTACTCTCTTCCTCCTCTGTCTTGCAGCATTGGCAGATTCCACTGGGAAGAAGATTTCGATCACTAAAGATGTGGTTTGTCTTCCGTATGTATGGGCTCAATGGCCTGCAGGCTCACATACGCAAGGTAGTCCACGTGCATTTTTGCCCTTATATTTGCCCTTAAACATCTCTGCTTTTTTGAATCCTTACACACATAATCCAACATTTCCATGTAGAAATTGCCTCTGAAAACATACAAATCTCTGGTTATATTATCTGAACTCATTTAACACAATTAACATGGAGACCTCCAGATCAGACTAACAACTAACAAAGTTAACACAGATAGAGTACAGTATATTCAATTTATGGGTGTATTATTGTGTCCTAACCAGTGCTATGGTTTTAATGAAGCATTACAAGAAAAGTTTAAATATTTATGGCAATATAGTGTTTAATTTTGTGATAAAAGGCTGATTTTTTTCCAGAGTAGAGTGAGATGTTGGTTTTATGCTTATAGTTTGGGGAAAATTGAGAATTATTCCACAAAACGTTGTCTCAGCAGCTGAAAAACCAACCATTTGTTATTAGCATATCAATGTGGTGATCCTGTAGTGTTATTAACTTAATCCAAAACCCGACTCCCTTGTTGCTTCATTAATAAATTAATTAATAAATAAAAGAGGAAGCAACATGCTAGCAGTGGTGAGAGGTCTGGCTTCCCTCTTTTACCTCTCTGTGTCTCATGCCGACTGCTCACTCCTGGAAAAAAAAAATACTTCTGACAATCACATTTGCCTGGTCTTCGTGGTAAATGCCATCCCTTTCCTCCCTCCCACGCCTCACCCCACCTAATCCTCCTTACCACTAAAGTCCCTTCAGTCTCTTCATCTCTGCCTCCATCAGCATATCCTGTCACTCATATATGTGTGCTCTGTATCTTCTTTATATAGCAACATTTGCCTACATTTCCCCTCCTTTCCCTCCCCCTTACCCACCCAGTCCCATCCTTTTCACTTTGCAGTTTCTTCTCGATGCTTCATCCCCTGCTTGTCTCTCTTCCTCATATTCCTCTTCCTCCCTCCAGTCTGCTCAATCTGCTTGTCAATCAAATTAGCCTGTTTTGTGTTTACTCTCCATTTTAAATGAAGCGGCAGAAGAAGCATTAATCTCCACAGCCATAACCTATGAGACAATACTGTACTGTACATCCGTCCTCTAGATCAGATGGAACAGTTTGAGACATTGTTTTGGTCCTGTATTGTTAAATCTTTTAGACAAGATGGAAAAAATGTTCAAATGGAGATACAACATGTGATGTACTGATTATGAGTTTCCTCTATCCTGGTGGAGGAAAAATAATTTAAATTCTAATTTGTACTTTTATCTTTATTAACACTAACAAATGATCCTCCCATTAAGTGGAAAGTTGTAAAATTATGCATTTTAATGACAAAGGTATGATAAAATGAGTCCTACATGCATACAATATTAAGCAAAACAGACACAACAGACAGAGGTCATAAGAGTAGGGTTAGGCTATATTAGCTTGTAAACACCTCTGAGTGATGCTGAATTACCGGCTGGTAATGAGGAAACAATGAGATGGACAACCAGTTGGTCATGTAGATCACAGTTTGGCTTCATTAGAGAGGCAGGAAAAGTGGAGGTCCGCGTTATTGTGATTAGATGCAGTAATGCACATTCAGAGTTTGGGCATGCATTCAATGTCTAAGTGGTCTCTTTGATCATAAGTGGATGAATCACGTTGTAGGAACATGTTTGATCATACAGTCCCCCTTTGCAAATTATTTAAAGGGAGCACAATGACATTTCCTGAGAGCAGATTTGGATACGGGCCATTTTATGGTTACAGAGCCCAGTTTTGAACTTGTATGAACTAAGCCTCCCAGGCAGTGCTTCCTACCAAGATGTGTTCTATTCCTCAACACGCCTCTTTAATCAAATGCATTTGGTTATCGATAGTTACAGACGGTTACATTTAGTCCATAGTGAAGGGTAACACTCTTTAAGTTTTGGTAGAGAGGTACAGAATGGATGTTGGTAGAAAAGTCCTCTGATCTGTATGTCTGAAAGCACAGTACCATGTAATGATACAGCACTGCCATCTAGGGAAAACTGTAGAAATTACAGACTTTTCTGTAGTTGAGTTTTCTTCCAGAGGTCATATGAAAAAGCAAGGCAACTGTTTGACCTTTTTTCCCCAGAAAATGCTCTGTTCAGTGTTTAAAACTTACTATACTTATTAATCGTGCCATTTGCCCTTCAACTATTTTGTTAAATTTACTATGCCATTCTTTTAACATTAGAGTGAACACCAGACAGCACTGACTATCTCCGCAGACTAATTAAAACAAGTGGACATAATGAGCCGTTCAAGTGTACTTTCATTGAAATGCAAAGGGTATCACGGGGACATTTTACAGTGCATGAGTCACAGCACATTATAATCTATGTCTGTTCTTTACAGCATGTGGCCCTTGCCAAAGAATTTGAGAGTCTTGTGCGAGCAGACAAGAGGTTTGAGATCTGTGCAGAGGTTATCCTGGGACTGGTCTGCTTCAGGCTCAAGGTAACGACATCCAACATTATAGAACTACTATAAGTGGATAAATCTAGTGTGGTCCTTTACGAAATTTCTTTACCCTGTGAAACCCATTTCATACCCGCTACAGATAGATAACAATATAGATGTACACACCTATCTGAGAAAGGAGGTTCAGTTAACACAGCAGAAGTAAACTTGGAATATATGGAGTATGGAGTATATATTTTAGATAAATTATTTCCTGCTCTGCGTGTTAAATTGTTCTTTTCATTGGCAGAGGAAAGCTGAGGTATCTTAAGTAATAGTCATAATGTTGAATGTGGTGTATCAGAAGGTGACATACACAGAATTTCTACATTTTACTAGTCCAGTCTTTCTCACACACATTACCTACCTTTCAAATGGCTAAATGGTTATAAAGCTTAGCTACAGGTGAGTTATGAAGTGACGGGTGAGGTTTACATATATGTGCTTGTTTCTGCATGTGATGTGATGAATGGGAAAAATGTCATGTCAAAAGTTGTTAACAATATAACAATCTGCTTATTGCGGAACACAGGTAACAATGCACTTCTATGTGAATACAGAGCTCCTAAAACAGTTAGCAAACATTTTAAAATGCAACATCACCAACAGTTTAACCCAGTAGTGTCTAGAAGGCAAGACAAAAAGCCTGTTCATCATTTCCTCCTTGCCTCTTCCTCTCAGGGCTCCAATGAGTTGAACCAGAACTTGCTGGAAAGGATCACCAAGAGCAAAAAGATCCACATGGTGCCTTGTCAGCTTGCCGGCCGCTTTGTCCTGCGCTTCGCCATCTGCGCACGCAGTACAGAGTCGCGTCACATCCAACGAGCATGGCAGCACATCACACAGCTGACCTTTGAGCTTTTGCAGGAGCCCAGTCATTGACCAATATGCTTGAAAAGGGGCTGTCCACTCTGGTGCTCAAGTGAGGACCCAAGTTAGGACAAAAGGTTTAATGTTGCAGGTGTAAAATGTCATAAAGGGAATGAACAATGATTTCACTGCTCACTTAGCACTTAGTGTGTTTTCGGTTGGCCAAGTTATCCAGTCTAGTAAGGCTAGTAAGCAGTGGTCTTATTTTGAGGATTTTTTTTATTTTCCAAATGAATGTATGTGAAAATAACTTATTACACATCTAGAAACACCAAAATGTGCATCAAAGGAAAGGATGCTGATTCCAAATATTGCATTTTCTCCATTAACTCCACTGGCTTTGCTATTATCTCTCACTGTACGGATTGTGTTATTGTCCTCATCATAATGCCCCCGCAGACTTGTCTTTACTGTCTATGCTGCTTCTGTGTCTTCTGTGTAAACTTTAGTGTGGGGTGTATTCAAGTTTTGGTTGGTTGGTTTAGGGTGTTTTTTCTGCACTGAATGTACTACACATTGTGTGTGTGTGTGAATGATTTTTTGAGTCCATATGTGTCTGCAATTTTCTGTGGGTGCTCATATGGAAATAGCTTTTTTATGTGAATGAAATTATGCTACTATTGGGGCACACAGGACCACTATTTATTCTTTACTTAGCTTATTCCAAATAATTTGAACTGTACAGGGATACACAGATTTAACATAATCACCCTATACGTACAGTATATGATTATGTTTCTGTGTTCAGACAGATATGATCAAATGAGTAGAGTTAAAAGAAGAGGTTTAAAATCTAAAATGTATACATGGCGTAAAAATATTCTCTGTCTAACACTGATTTGGTGCCAATTAGGTAATTCCAGTTTAGCATTGGGTGTACCAGAAATTCAAGATCTTTCACACCCACCCACATTAGTCTCTGATCATATATGTTTAGCTGTGAGATTTAAGATTTATTTTTAAAACATCTTCTCTGATGTCTTTAGTGTAATTAAGACAAGACTGGCCCATTTGTCTGCCAAGAGGTATTTAAATCTGTGGTGTGACAAACCTTGTTGTTAATTGATGTGACTGTGTCAAAGTCAGCTGCTGTTACTAATCAAGGTGTTTTGTCTTTGGCTTGGCCTTGTGCTGCATGTAAAGGTATGGGTTTATTTTAATAAAGTCTACAGTAGTCTGCGTGGTGTTTGGATCTGTTTTTTAATCCTCATCAAAGGTTTACAATATCTCAAGCTCACAAGGAAAATATTTGTCTTTTATTAGGGTAGTGCACAAATTAAATAGTTCAAGAGAAGAAGGGTGAAGCTGAGGAACTGTAGGCTGTGTAGAAGTGGTTTCCAAGTATGCTGCAAGACCTTTTGTACATTATTATATTTTATAACACATAAAAAAATGGATCACGTTTTAAAATGGATAATGTTTTAAAACCACAATTTAAAAGCTTAGAAGTTATGCTGCAGCCAATCGCAAGACGAATCACAGTTAATACAAACAAATTTTAATTTTGAAGACAATGAAAGATATAACATATTAGTGTATTTAATTGTATTCATTGCTTAATTCATTGTTCAATAGGTCTGCCTGAACACAACTATGGCAACCTCTCAACACTAAAATGGCTCAAACCGAGACCATAACATACACCACCCCCAATCAGCTTTGTCAAATTGTTGGATGCAAGTTCCCAGTATATTACTTATATAGTACAAAATTCAGCCTGATATAGTCCTGCAGTTCATCTACTGCGGTGTGCTTAATTAAACATAACAGTCGTAGTACACACACACATACACGCACGCATGCACACACACACACACACACACACACACACACACACACACTAACACAAACAACATGTTGTGCCACTCATCCGCCTCTGAGCATCCTAATCCCTGAGGACAAAGGCTAGTGTTCTATAAATACAGATGAGGATTCAGCATTAGCCCCTGATTACTGTTCAACATTATTGGCCTGCTCATTCACTTGCTTTTATATACTAAGTTAAGATCATTCTTCAGGTTGTAGACAAGCAGAACTTCTCTATAGTAATTTGTGTGTTTTGTGAAAAATCTACAATCATACAGCTGGTTGAGAAAATGTCATTTGTTCAGACTAAATTGTAAACTAGGATGATGGGACATAATAATGCTATACAGAGGTCCTAAGTCAAGTACTTACTCATAATGTACTTGACCAATGTAGCCTATATGAATAAAATATGTGCTTGTACTTCAGTTGGGTTATTGAGTGAAATGTCAGTACTTAAATGCACACAGAGGGATAGATGCACTGAGGGACTTATTGTTGGCAGATTTGCAAATGTAAAAAAGAAAATCTTTCACAAACAAAGACATAGTTCATATCTTGTCAGTTTATGCATATTTATTATTCATTAATTGAACCGATTATCAGGATTATCATTATCCTTATTCATTTGTTGTATTAAACCAAATATATTCAAGCTTTGTAAACTTTTAGCTATGAGAAAAAGCTGTCCTTCCAAGTAAAACATGGGGTATTGCAGTTTTCAACACTAGAAGCACAGCAGTGAAAAAACATGTCATCTTACTGCCAAAGACCAAAAATGTAGAAGCACATAAACAAAAGGCAATAATAGTCTATGTCATTTATTTTGAAATATTATTTCCACTTCAGTCCAACTACATAATTTTTTAAAAACTAGATTCCTGAAATGTCACGGCAAAGGTAAAATAATATTCCAAGTATCCAAGATGGCCGCCACCAGTCTGGTTCTTTGTTTGTGTGCTTGAGCTGAGTTACTCTTTGTTATGCATTTTTTATGTCCCTGGCTTCTGCACAACCTAACCAAGGAAAGTCATCTCTTCCGAGAAACTTGTGGTTTATTGAGTATCTTCGTATAGTATCTTGTTATACTTAAATCTATCCTAAAAGGAGAAGGATTACTACCACTGGCCTGCTGATTAATTTTTTTTTTTTTCAATGATCTGCTGAAAGACCCATGGCTTGTATGGTGACTCAAACTGATCACTTTGGTGTTATTTGATCAGGTCTGGGACTGGTTTATCCCCCCCACACCTGGGTGGTAGTGATGCAACAATAGCTTGGATTTAGCTTTCACTACTCACAGCATTCAATGATGGATTTAAGTCGCGGCCAACCCCATTTATTGACGAATATAACCGGGTGTGTACATTGCCAATATCTCCCTCTCCAACTAAGGATGCATGCAGCTATAACCAGCTTATCCATCCTGTTCAGCAACAAACACTCTACAATCATCTAACACAAATGAGCCCCTTGTTACACCTGCAAATAGTGAACGCCTTAAATAACCACTCTACTGTGCAACATGGACTCTCATCACACTTGTCAGCCAGTGATTGTGATGAAAAACATACAGTGAATACCAAATCTATTGACTTACTACTTTTGCTGTTATCTGGTAACGTACAACCAAATCCTGGGCCTGACTCACTACAAAATATATACTCCCCATGCAACTTCAAAAACAGATCCAGACTTGGAATTATGCATTTTAATGTTAGAAGTCTCCTTCCAAAAATGGACATGCTAAGACTGTGGGTTGATGCAACCGATATGGACATCATGGTCTTATCAGAAACCTGGTTAAAATCCACAATAACAGATAATATGATTGCTATTGATGGCTATAATATTTTCAGAGCAGATTGTTCAGGTAAGGGGGGCAGAGTTGCTATATATGTTAAATCAAAATTTTTAAGCTCAGTGACACTTGAAAGTAAATTTATACAAGGACACACACCTCACTATTGTTGGCTGTTACAGGCCACCCTCCGCCACAAAAGAAAACTAATTCCTCTCTTTATGATGTACTACTCAACCTTAATGACTCCGAAGTAATTCTAATGGGTGAACTTAACTGGGATTGGCTTTCTCCTGCCTCTGAGAATATTAAAGACCTATCTGACGCTTTAAATCTCATGCAACTTATTGACACCCCAACTCATATCAACCCGAGAGATCATAGCAAATCAACACTGTTGGATGTCATTACAAACATGCCACATAAATACACATCGACTGCTGTTTTTCGCAATGATGTCAGTGATCACTGTGTGATTGCTTGTATAAGAGACACAAAACTACCTAAACATAAACCTCGTTATGTTTTTAAAAGGTATTTTAAACAATTTAATGAACAGGCTTTTATTGATGATCTGTACAACTGTAACTTGGAGAGTGTCTGTCTGAAACCTGATGTGGAACATGCCTGGGAATATTTTTACAATGCCTTTTCAGTTATTTGTAATAATCATGCTCCTGTAAAGAAATTTAGGATTAGCGGGAGGAATAACCCATGGTTCACTGAAGAGTTAAGCTTTATGATCAGAGAAAGAAATATTGCATGGGGCAAAGCTCAAGCCACAAATTCTACTGCTGACTGGACTACTTTCAGAACTTTAAGAAATAAATGCACAAGCATGACCAGAAAAGCAAAATCAGATTACTATCTAAAAAATGTGTCCAAGAATCTCAATAACCCCTCTAAATTCTGGAAGCAAATTAAGTCTCTGTCTTGTTCCAATTCTTCTTCAGGTCTCCCACAACATATTTTTGTAAATTCAATTGAAATTAAAATCACAAATTGACATAATTGGACATTCACTTTGTATCAGCTGGCTGTATTTTCAATGAGTCCAAATCAAGTTATCATTGCTCTGACTCCAGCACTAAACAACACCGTAAACTTTTGTTTTTAGATCCATTTTAAAAGAGGATATCTGTATTGCTCTTAAAGCTATTGACCCGAAACAAATCATCAGGACCATACAACCTAGAACCTTTCTTATTCAAGGTTGCAGCTGAAATGATATCTAAGCCTATAGCATGCATTTTTTATTGTAGTTGGCAGACAAACTTTGTTGCTATTAAATGTTAAATTAAAAGCAACACTGCCCTGCCTTATTTGTGGATCTATCCAAAGCATTTGACTCTGTTGACCATGAGCTATTGCTAAATTGATTAAGTAACATTGGAATAGGAAACACAGCAATCAATTGGTTCAAAAACTATCTTACAGAACAAGCGCAATGTGTTTCTATAGATGGTCTTAAATCAAACTTTCCAAGATTTCCAAGGGTGTTCCTCAAGGTTCGATTTTAGCCCCTATTTTATTTTCTATATTCATAAATAATATTGGAAAGGACATGCAAACCGCTAAACTGCAGCTTTATGTGGATGATACTGTGATATATTCAGTTGCCCCTTCACTGAACCAAGCCATAAATGACCTTCAGTTAGCCTTTCAACAGCTTCAAGTCTCACTACATGGCCTCAAGTTAGTGCTAAATACAAAGATAACCAAATCTATGATGTTTTCAAGGGCTCGTTCCCAATCCCCAGATAATATAACCGTAGTAAATAAAGGCCAGCCAAGGCCCGCGACTTAAAGTATAGCGTATTATAATCCTTACACCTCATAGACTTGAAAGCAGATTGTGCAGAGAGTCTTGCTTTCTTAGCGGTGAAATGTTATTTGTGTGAGAGTAGTGTTTTCGGGGGTGGAGGTATGTTGTTCATTATGCGTGACTTGTGTTGTTTTCTGGGGTTTATCTTTTCCCATCGCCCGCCATTGGGGCCACAGCGGTGCAATCACATGTCTAGTTCTACAAAACACCTAAAGCATTATTGCTCAGAGGTTTCGGAAAGTTTCATGTTCCCAGCGCTGTTTTCTGGGGGGGTTTATTTAACAACGCCCGTCAATAGGTTACAGATCTGCAACAAGAGATCTGAGCTGACATTTCACCTCTACAGCAACACATTTATCTGCGTTTCCGAGAGCTCGTCCGCAGCACATATTCGCTGACAATGCAACGATTGCGCTTTAACGGAACAGTTAAGAATCAACCATAACAACTATATGCAGTAGCTTGTGATTGCTTTCCTCCGGTCACCAGCTCCATCAAACTCAACCGTCTTTTCACTCACGGTTTCAATAGTAAACTGCCATAGGATTGACAAATACCGATTAAAAAATATTATATTATAACCAGAAACATTTAAGAAAACATAAATTACAAAGTATATTTTGTATTTCATACAAATAGAAGGTTTGTCAGTAATTTTTATCAAAACTCCACCGCAAAGCATCACGGGATGTCTGAGGGATGGCCTTTATCGCTGATAGGGGTCCTCAAATTCCGCTGGAAGCCTTG